TTTTTTTTTTTTTTTTTTTTTTTTTTTTTTTTTTTTTGACGCCCACGCACGCATGCCCATTACGTGATGGGACATGGAGAAGGGGGAGAGGGACCGTTTCTTTTTACGGAAACGTTACGACATTTGTCATGTCCTTTTATCTTCTTTCTTTCTTTAACTCCCATCGATCGAACTTGAGAGCTTCTGGTGCTCAATTTCATTAATCGCGCGATTCATTTTCTATGGCTAAATTAAGTGGTCAAAACTGTTAGTGACGCGAAGTAAAATTTTACGCAAACAGATGGTCGTCTGAGAAATTAATTTGATTACGCAACGCTTTGCTTAACTAAACGGCCGATTTAATAAGAAAACTTACCTTACTTCTTGCCTTACTCGTTTTACTCGATAATGTACCGCTAGTTCGTAATTAGATTACAAAATTTTTGCTTCGATTTTATCGTTCGATCGAGCCTAAATGAGTAAACTAGCAAGTAAGCGAGCAAGTGAACGCGTGAGTACGTGAATGACTTGCCGAGATAAATTATTCAAGCTAATGTATGATGCACGTTGAAGCAACAACAACAAAACAAAAAACAAAAAACAAAAAAAAAAATCAGCAAGATTAAGACTAGTTTTTGATAAATCCAATGCATCGCAGACTCAAACGATAAGACCCAACCTTGGCCGATGCAATTGCGAACGAAACTTTTTAATACAATGTTGCGTGAAACTTTTATTACCAATACAACCGATACCAAAGGGGCAAAAAATATAATTTTCTTCATTGTCACAGCTGCCAGTGAATCCGACTTCATTGTAAAAACAAAAAACAAAAAACAAAAAACAAAAAACAAAACGAGAAAAATAAAACATCTCGGTATCGTAATTAATGATATATTACTTTTACCTTTGTGGCAACGCTGTCGGTGCCGCCATTAACCGCTGATCCACGTCATTCGATTATCCTTCCCGGCGTCGTCGACCTCGAAAAAGCATTAAAAAAAAAATAAAAAAAATTAGAGAGAGAAAAATAATAAGCCAAAGAAAAGAAAAGAATAGAAAGACAGAATGAAAATATAAAGACTTGTCTGCCACAGCTGGGATACGGGCACAGCACTAACGAGGAGATCGAGCTCGCATGGAGCAGCCAGGATCAGGAGTACGAGGAGCTGGCGAACCAGGCGAACGTGCGCTACCGCGAGTGGTACTCGATCGCATTCTGGCCAGCGGTGACAGTGATCCTGGTGACGATCGCTCTCCTCTTGCTGGCCGCGCACTTTGCCATGCGGCTGGCCAAACGCCGGGGCCAGAGTCCCGTCATACGCACGCCCATGATCCTGCGCCCGGGCCTTATGGACAACAAGAACTGCGGCCTCGTCTACAAGCCTCTGCAAGAGGAGATCGCCACACCCCACATGCCCAAGAGAGGCAGTTTCTACTCCAGTAGCACCTTCCACTACGACAAGATCGTGCCCGAGAGCGTTTAACTCCTCTCGCGCTAACCCTGATCCCACGACCATCCCACCATCCCATCCTGATAACAAAAAATCCATCCAACCTCTCTCTTTCTTATCCCCTGAAGCTCGACGGGATGCTCTGATACGCGTGACCTAGGGATCTTGGGCAAACTTTCCGTTTGTATTTGTCCAGGATACGCCTCACCGGGCAATTGTGAATTGCTCGTGAGGGCGTTCTGAGCGCCAAACTTAATCTTTATCGGAGCGACTCTCGTCGGTCCCGTGTTACTCTATTACTCTTCGCCGTGATACGAATTATTTTAAGCGAGTTTTACTCGAGCGACACTCGCGATTGGATTTTACGTAAGGATCCTCCGTCGTGCATAGGATATTCCACTACCAGTCGCGCCCAACGCCTACGGGAATGGCGACGATCGCGGAATGCGTTCGTTAACGCGGGAACTGCGAGCTGTGCGACGAGAGTGAAATTGGATTGCCGAGGAGTGAGCGATTGCTAATTCGTCATAAGATGAATTTGAGGATGGATGTGATCGATGGTAAATTACGTTGCTTTGACCCGTGCAGAGATAAACAATTTTATTATTCCTATTGGGAGTTAACTTCCTTTTAATGCGAACGAATGTCCTTTGGCGTCCGCACGATGATTTTATTATCAATCCGGAAGAATATTTTTATATCGTATTGCAATGAAAATAAAAATAATGGCTTAGATTCGAGCGAAGTAACATTTTTGGCTTTTGTCATTAGATAATAAATAGATCGCTGTTGTCTCTGTTCGACAAAACGTATCGTTGACCCATTTTTCTCCAAATTAATTATCTTCCAAGGGTAATATCGTGCACATTTTTATCATCTGCACTATGCGGGCATAACCGTTAATGTTTAAGCTCGTCATAAATTTTTACACTTACGCTTGCAGTTAATTAATTTTAAGAGTTAAGAGGCCAAAATGGATGGGGACAATGAGTGTTTCGAGGCAACGTAACGTGCCATACGAAAGGCGACCTTACGGAAAAAGTTTATTTAGCGTCACAGAGGTGCTATTCGTTAATGAATGCTCTATCGTTTACTGATGGTTTATCGGTATATTGTTTGTAATATTGTAATCGCCATTAAAAAAAAAAAAAATTTAATAATAATGATAATAATAATAATAATAAAAAATTTAAAAAAAAAAAAAATTAAAAATTATCGTTAATGTAAGCATTGTACTTTAATATATAGTATTATGAGAGGGAACAATTTGTTAATTTACTACTGTTTATACATGTAAAGAGTAGTGAGATCCACTGCATTGGCAAAAACAAAAACAAAAACAAAACGAAACAAGAAAAAAAACATTTCCGTAAGGTGTATTACACAAAAAAATATTCCAAAACTGTGAGAATTTCATTGAAATTTTGCACTCATTATGGACCAAACAAATTTTTAAGAAAAGAAAAATTATATATATAATATAATGAATGTATGGTAGGTGATTATTGAACAAATTTTTAATCTCGTTAAAAAGTTCCGCCGCTTATCTATTCTAATTATCGTTCATTGAAGATATGCAAAATAAACAATAGTGCGTAAATGTGTTTAAAAACAAAACAAAAACAAAAAACAAAAAAAAAAGAAAAAGAAAAGAAAGAAAGAGCGCAAATTATACGCTTTTTTTTTTTATAATATCGCCATATTGCGGGATACGTTAAATTTTAGTTAACTCATGATATCACATAACAATTTTTCGATAATGAAATAATTTTGCAATACTTGTATAGAATTTCTAGGTGTCGTGAAAATATAGTCCTGGACTGGATAAGCACGAAGAAAAAAAAACGATAAAAATACATTGAAAAAATGAAGTATTTGTATTTGGATTTTATACGTCATGTATGGGAGAAAATAAGATGTTGCTTTGTCTGAAAAATGTTAACACGAGTTTTAAAATAAATAGACAAAATGTTGTAATTCAGACCAGTTGATAATATTTAATATCTTGGCTATTAATTATTTATGTATTTAATAGCAATATTTACACTAGAAATATTTATATACATGAATTTACGGTATTTCCCAACTAATTTACAAGTCCTTTTACACCGTTACACAGAGCACATAATGTATTTTTATAAAACAAACATTTTTACCTTTTAAGTAATTTTAATATTTTTAATGTTAAACGCAATTTAAATTATTTATTATTTAATTATTCAGTATTAGATTAATTAAATGTTTTATTTAATATTTTAAAGAATTTTTTAAATTATTATATCATTGCGATATTTAAATTTTAACATAATTGATTTCTCTCTAGTAATTATACAAATTTTAATCTATAATTTACACAATTTTATGCACTTACGGTTCTTATATAATGCCACGTTGCAATATTAGTGAAATTAAACCAGTTTTATTGAGATGGAACATAATTTCAATTGTAATTAAATGCACCACAACAATACATCCCGCCATGCTTCATGTTTCTTTTTTCTCTAATTTTATTTCTGTTTTTTCAGTATATATTAAAAACCAGACCAGATTTTCACTTTCACGTCGAAAAGTAATTAAAAATGTCTCGTTCCTCCGACTCCATTTCTTGAGGACTGGAGATGTCGTCATATACAGATATAATAATTAATATATATATATATATATATATATATAAGTTATCGAATCATTAAAGAAATAATACGAAAAAAGTCGAATATTTTTAATCAACTGCTATTATATACATTATGAAGCCTCTTGTGTGTAATATTAAATCTAATGATAAAAATAATTAAATCTATAATGATCCGATGCACTTGAAATTTTTGCAGAAAAGAAGAAAAAAAGGAAAAATAAAATTTACGAGCGTTCGGTGACGCTTCCCGCTGTAAATAATATTCTCAAATCGCTTTAATAAAATCATAAATATAGAGAAAAACAAAAAACGGTACTGTTTCTTTTGCCTGTGCCAATATATAATAAATACAACTTTGTTGTGTTCGCTTAAAGGATATAAAATTATGGATTTACTATTTCAAATAATTTCTACGATCATTATTTACTACTTATAACTTACTATAAGCATTTATTATTTACTTATTAAAGATTACAAATGTATATAACTCTGTGAGAGAACGTATTAATAAAAAATAAATGTTTTTATAAATCAATTGAAAGGATAATTATTTCGCACTCTTAAGCTAATTTTTAATTCTACGAATATATAATTCTTATCTCTTTTTGTTTATTTTTTTCTTATTTCTTTTTTTTTTTTTTTTTTTTTTTTTTTTTTTTAACTTGCTAAACCTGTCAACTCTTATCAGCTCCTATTATTGCAATTATTATTGGTATATTAAATAATAAAAAAAAAGTTAATAATATAAGAGTTTATCTAAACCTTCGTATTTCATTCCATTATATGGCGCGTTTAAATTATATTTATTATATATAAACTTGTTCGAAACTTTCTTTATTTCATTCCAAGTATTTACATACCGAGGCAAGAAAGAATTTCTTTTATTCTTTTACTTCTTGATCATTTAAGCACTCTATTCATTTTTCATTGTATCATCTCCTTCCTCTCGTTTCATTATCATTAGCCATTATTTGCCATGTCAAAACGCATGGATAAATTCAGTTTTCATCGATCGTATCTTGTTTATTAAAAAATAGCTATGCATTGCTTAATTCACAAAGCCGATTTAAATTGACAAAATCTGTCGTACGTTTTTCATAAACTCTATCGATTACACTGCCACGTGACGACTCAGGAATTTCAAATAACATATTCGTATCTAATTGAAAGCATAAGAACACGGGGAACCCGATTCTTTAAAACATGACCAAAATATATTATACCACTGGACGTAACATACGTACACGTGATTACGACACTCGTGACGACGCTTACGTCAAAATATTTATCTCCCACTTGGTTTTAGCCATCGCTCCTCCTCTACAAATTCAAGCAACATTAACCCAAGGCGACAACATGATACGTGGAGATTATAATTTGTCGCCTTAGGTGGAACGTCGCGCGTGAAAGCGAGCACAATAGAAAAAAAATGCTTTCTCTCAACTTGAAAATTATTCGAAATACCACGTGTTCAAGCAGTACTAAATGTACTAATACATTTCCCTAACAATTTTAATACCTTACTTGTTGATCCAATGCTTGGCACAATTTTTGGATTTTCATTATAAATTTACTATTCGCGGTAAATTTTATAAATAAATTCTGTTTTAATTCGAGAAACAATTTATTTAATGTTTTCATTTTTATAAAATTATTAATCGAGTTATCATAGTATTGGAAGGAAATCTGAGGGGAAAGTTTGCATATCAAACGTTTCCATATACTTACTGCAAATTAATATAGTTTGAAAAACAAGTGCGCGCGTGACATTTTTCATTCGTTCGCTGCGCTTAGTTTCCTCGATGAACATTACATACAGTCACTTACTTACATTTTACATTGAAATTAAATTTTTATGGAAAAGATTAAGAATAATGCACAAAGCTTTTAAATATCTTTAAAGTTTAAAGCTTATTGCACATGCTTGGATCTTGAGTTGACGACAGTAAAGCACTGCACTCTAGTAGCAAACAAAAGATTAATAGCTTTCACGGACTGGTAAATAGTTATAAGATTATTGCAAACCTTGGGAACACGGAAGAGTCATTTTATATATCAACGAACGCCGAAAATTTAATAATCGTCTGATCGTTGTCCCTTAAGCATTCCAACAACCAGAAAAATGACGTTCCGCATGACCGCTACCGATGTCATGTTGGGATTTATGAAAAATTTGGCCAATCTCGTTGTTTTGTACTAGACGGTCACTAATTATTTTGGTGTTGCTGAGATCGATAGTGGCCGGTTTCGATCAACTTTGAAAGTTATGGTTTAGCATCGAAAGTCATGCTGCTCAAATACGTTACGCTCATTATAATTTTTTATAGGCATGTCGTTTTAGCCCACGCGTTTTATGAATTTATGCTTAATATAATGAATATTTTCCATCTAGCGCAACTCCTACAAAACCATTAGAATCGCTAAAGTGTTCGGTACAATTATTACGGATACAA